TTCCTTCAATCTTGTTCTCTGTGAGTAATTCGATTAGAGGCTGGACAATTGGACAGCTGTGAATGGCAAATCAAGGTTACTGGAAGAAAAGAAAAGCAAAGGAGTTTTTAAATTTCGCAAAAGGGTACAATTTCTATCTAAACACAGAGATCCTTGGTGGGAATTGAAATCTGACTTATTTTCCACTGCGTATGATTAAGTAGATTCCCTACACCAACATCAGCAGGGTTAAAATAAGTCGAAACCTTTTCAAGTTTCACAATTCCTTGTGAAATAACATCTCTATAGAAATGAATCTGACATCAACAAGTTCAGATCTATTGTACAAACAGGATTTTCTACTTAAGTGAATGGCAGAGAATAAAACATCTTTAATGAAACCAAATTTATTTAGTAGTCCTTTTAACCTAATTTCTTCTTTTATGGCATCCGTTGCAGCAATATATTCAGCCTCAATTGAAGATAATGCAACAATTTTTTAAAGTTGGGATTTCCAACTTATACACATAAACAGAGGTGGATTTCCTATTATCTCTATCACCAGAATAATCAGAGTCAATGTATCCTCTTAAAATAATATCATCAGATTGTTTTTTAATCCAAAGTCCTAAATCACATGTTCCTTTTATATATCTAAGAAGTCATTTTATGGCTTCCCAATGTGCTTCACCAGGATTTGACATATATCTACTCAAAACACTTATAAAATAAGCCAAATCAGGTTTGGAGCAAACCATTAAGTACATGACAAACCCCACTGCATTTGAATATGGAACATTTTCCATTCTCCTAAACTCTTCTTCAGATTTAAGACATTGTTCACTTGAGAGTTTAAAGTGAATTGCAAGTGATAAACTCACACATTTTGAATCAAACATATAAAGATTTTCTAATAGTTTCAAAATGTATGTTTGTTTACTGGGATTTAATGTCTTTTCTTCTATTTCTTTTTATTTCAATACCTAAAATCTTTCTAATTCAGATTTCAGCTTGTCTTTGATTTCTTCTATCTCATTGGTGTTGTGACTGGCAGATGCATGTCATCAACATAAAGGAGAAGATAAAGTGAATTTTTACCTCTGTTTCCTTAACAGTGAAAACAAGTATCAAAATTACTCCTTTTAAAGCCTAGTCCAAGTGCAATGTATCGAACCTCTTGTACCATTGTCTTAGAGCTTACTTTAAACCATATAAAGATTTCTTAAGAATGCATATTAAGTTAGATTTTTTATTAGCTTCAAAACTTTTAGATTGTTCCATAAAAATTGTTTCATCAATGTCACCATTTAAGAAGGCTATTTTGACATCCAATTGGTCTAGTTCCCAGTTAAACTGGGTAGCCAAGGCTAAAATTACTCTAACAGTTTTGAATTTTACAATTCGAAAAAAATTTCGTTGAAATCTATTTCCTCTTTTTGAGTAAAACCCTTGATCACAAGTCTAGCCTTGTACCTAATATCATTCTTATCCTTGTCCCTCCTTTTAATTTTAAAAATCTATTTACACTCTATGACCATTTTTCCTTCAGCTTTTTTAACCAAAATCCCAAGTTTTATTCATTTTAAGGGGATTACATCTCATCATGCATTGCAGCTAACCAATGCTTGAAATCCTTGTTACTTATTGCATCTTTAAAGTACTCAGGTTCATTTTCAATGAGCCCTTGGAAAGTCTGAAATGATACTTCATCATCAAACCTAACAGGAGGTCTTATCTCTCTTCTTTGTTTATCTCTGGAAAGTTGATAGTCATTTGAAGGTTAATTTGCTCCCAAATCATTCTCAGTTTCATGTTCAGAACCTCCATCACTATGGGTCTCATTATTTTCATTTTGAGTTTGAGCATCAGGTTGTCGAGTTTCATCTTCAACCTGTTATACCTCAATTTTAGTATTCTTTTCTATATTTTTAGTCCAACTTAGAGAATCTAAGTTTTCCTTCTTTTCAAACAAGGAATATCATTCTCATTAAACACCATATTTCTGCTTTTAGCGATCTTGTATCCTTTAGATTCCCTTACCCATAGACCATACCCACTAACTCATTCACCATAGTCCATGAAGACACACTTGAGCGACTTAGGTTCTAATTTTCCTTTAGATTGATGTGCAAAGGCTGTACACCCAAAAACATTCAAATTACTAAGATCAATTGGTTTTCTTGTCCATATTTGTTCAAGAGTTATAAATTGTATAGTACTAGCAGGGCATCTGTTAATCAGGTAACGAGTAGTTTTTGTAGCTTCTTCCCGAAATAACTTAAGAAGACTAGAACTTAAGAGCATATATCTAACTTTTTCAAGAATAGTCCTATTCATTCTCTCAGACAAACCATTTTATTGTGGGGTGTGCCACAGGTCTTTATCTCAATACACCATGCAATTTGCACCACTCATCAAATTCAATGTTCCAAACTTCCAAACCATTATCAGTTCTTAGTACTTTAATCCTCTTCTCAGTTTGATTTTCAATCAAGATTTTCCACTCCTCGAAAACATTAAATGCATCTAATTTTGATTTGAGAAGAAAATTTCAATTTTTTTCTAGAGAAATCATCAAGCTGAAGCTAATCTTAGAAAAGCTAAAGGAAGAGACGAATAATTAAAGCGAATCTAGCTCTCTAACGAGCTAGGACAAGAATAGAGGCTATCGACGTGATTTCCTAACTAGTTGGTACGTTTGAATAATCAAAATAAGTTTTGTTTCTAAGCCTATTTTGATAAAATTCACTATGTAGGCATAGTAGCTCGTCTCCAAAGATCAACATGCAAGTGCTTAACTATAAACATAGATTTATGCATTCCAGGTAAAAGGGGCAGTCTATTATGCTTTCCTAAAATGCAATAATCACAAAAATTGAGTTTCTCAATGTCATCTTTTCCAAATGTACCTTGTTTTTTCAAAATCTATAATCCTTTATCACTAATATGACCTAATCTTTTATGCCATATTTGTGACTTGTCATTTGGAACACAGATTGCTACGGAAGTAGAGTAAAAAAAACATTTGTGTTTGTAAAATGTAAAGTCCATGTCTCTTGGGTGCTTCTATAATCAATTGTGAATCCTCAAGATTTTGATGAATCCGTTATTGATGATAATGCCATAATTCAAGTCATCCACAACACCTAAAGAGATAAGATTCATTTGTAAGTCAGGAACATACCTAGTCTGTTCCAAGTCAAGTTCGTTATTATCTTTTACTCTTAAGGTGATGGTTCCTATTCCTTTAACCTAACATGTCATATGATAACCCATTAAAACTTGACCTCCATTTACATTTTCAAACTCAGTAAACCACTCTCTATTTGGGCACATGTGAAATGTGTAGCCTCAGTCAAGAATCCATTCTTGACTAGGTGGGCTGTTTGTAGCAACATAAACTTTATCAATATTGGTCTCATTGTTATAGGCTAAGGCTGCACCACCATCAATCTTAGACTTATTTCTTAAATCAGTAAGTTTTTTGGAACAATCTTTGATAAAATAACCCTCTTCTTGACAGTAAAAACATTTTTTACCTTGTCTTTCCTTTCACTTTATCTTTAGGATTTCCCTTCTTGTGTCCAAATCTCTTATTGAAGTTAACAATCTTGGAATTAGTTTTGGATTAACCATTCAGTTTTCCCCACAGATACATTCTTTTCTTTTAAACCTTAACTCTAACTCTTTGTTTCTTAAAGTATTGATTATAACAACAGCGGTTATAGTTTCCCTTCCATATTCAATAACATTTTTAATATCTTTGTAATTATCACCAATTGAGTTCAATAAGACCATGGCGAGCTGATCTTTTGAGAATTTCTCATCACAGTTGGCTAAGTCAAGGGATAATTTGTTGAATCAATCGATATTAACTTCAAGGTCCAAAGTTGGGTCCAATTTAAAACCAAAGAATTGTTTCAGAAGATACACATTTATTTGGAATAGTTTTACTTAAATATGTATCTTCTAATTTTTTTCCACAACTCAGCAGTAGTCTTTGTTTCTCCAATTTCTCTAAGTACACTATTAGACGGGTGTAAGAAAACTGAGCTCCATGCAGTCTCATCAAGTTTAGTTTTCTTGTTTTCTTCTAAATCACTTGGTCATATCTCATCGATGGCCTTAGCATATTTTTTTTTTTTGAAGTAAAATTGCTCTCATTTTCTGCTGCCAAAGATTGAAGTCTCATTTGTCATTAAAAATGTCCAATTCAAATTTCGAAGTGGTCATGATCCAATTTTGAACGTCAACAGTGTATGCAGATCACAAATACACTTCAAGAGTATATACAACTTGTAGTGGTTGAGATATCACACACAAGTGACCAAACCAAAAATAAATTTGAACTGTGAATAACTTGTATAAACTTTTGCACAGAGGTGACATAGTAGTTAATTCCTGAAGTAATACAGTTACTGAAAGGTACTAAATGACAAATAATAAGTAATACTTTCATAATATGCTATATGTAAGATCAAGAATTACAAGCAGAGGATTAAAATCAAGATCTTCGACTTAGATCAAGATAACCCTCAGATTCCAAACAACTCGTAGGTTTTTGGACAAAGGAATTGCTAAAAATGTCCCAGATTTAGAAATTTTAACACACTTGTAGAGATCTTAAAATATAAGCACATATTCAGTACTGTAAATCATAAAACAGGAACGAAGTCATCAAATACTTTTATTAGGGTTTCAAAAAATAAAGGAGATCTACTTAACAAGTGTCAAAAAAACTGTCAAATCTGAAGCAACTAGGAGTCAAGAACCATCGTCTAACCGCTTTGATACCACTATTAAGATTAGGTTCAATCGATCAGAAACTTTTACCAACAAAATGTGCAAAGATAAACAGAAATACAAGAAAATTTAAATGAAGAACATGAGATTTTTGCCCTAAGGCAAGAGATTCGGGACAAAGCTCCTAATTCCCTTTTGACCTTTCCCCACCGAAAGAAACCACTTGTATTAAGAAATCAGAACCATGAAATCGTCCAAAATATACATCGCCAAAGCACTCAGGATGAATCACGCAGGATTACATCATATAACCTCTCGATCTATACGTCAAAGTTCACTCAAGAACATATGAATCAATGAAGATTTACAATCACTCAAGAAGTGCATAGAGAAGATGATAAGAGTCACGGGAATATCAAGAGGTAGAGAAAAAGTTAATAATGAAATCCTTTCATTCAACCCTAGGTAGATGAAGGAGCATATAAGGAGTCACCAGAAGGTCAGCCATCCAATAGTCGTTGGGGTGACACTTGACATCATCGCAGGCATCAAAGAATCCACTAAAGGAGACACATTTTAAAGAAACACACTTTTGTAAATTGCAAGGGAGGATCAACAATAACAAATAGTTCGATCAATTGATCAATCAAACAATCCAGTCAACATCCAAATCATCAACATCATTGTGCCATGCATCATTAGGCCACATATCTTCACATGTGTGTTACAGCTTAATATCAGGGCAAATGCTCATTTTTCAGTAGACTCGGATAAAATGGAAAGTTCATCTTTTAAGTAAATAAATTTTTTTTTAAATGAAAATTTATTAAGGAAATTTTTCTCCAAACACGGTAAAGATCTACCACTACCAGCTACTTAAGTTCAAACCAAAAAATTGTGGATCAAATTGCAGCAAGGGTCACGGTTGAGCAGTGGCTGTAATTTACCCTATCAAAAAAAAAAAAAAAAAACCTATTTGAAGAACTTCGTGAATCCATGCCTTGATTTAATTGTGAAAAATAAGTTTTTCACTTGAAGATGTAACTAGACCTTTTGTGATTGTGAATGATCTTATTGCATTAAACCCTGCTTGTCCATCGTAAAAGTAAGAAAATAAGTTTTAAAATAGTGAAATTTTGAAGAATGTATAACTAAAATGTAAGCAAAAATTTTGGATTCATGTGATAAGTATTTCATTGTGTGAATGTGGGGTTAAAAATGAATTTGAGAAAAAAGAGTTGAAACAATGATAGACATACAAGGACTAATATTTCGGTAAAACTAGAAATAATGAAACTAACAGTATCAACAAGAATGATTTGTTGAGAAATTCCCAAGAAAATGTGTTGTAATCCATACACTTCTAATCAATTTAACAGAGGAAATCCCACCTTTTCTTCTGCATTTCATTCAACGAATTCTTTGCTCAAAATAATACAATTCAAAAGCATATCCTCTATGGATATCGGAAGAAAAGAATTAAAGACACCTGCAACATATCATCCGAGACATGGACCAAACTCACATCGATTATACCTTAATTACATTGTACAAAGATGGAAAGACACTGACAGAGACAATTAGAGATTTCCAACAAATAAAATATCAACATGAAAGGTTCTTCGAAAAGAAATTATAATCCCATTAATATATCTCAGAGAAAAAGGTGCAACTTTGGCACTTGAAAGAACTATTACAGTAAAAAGATGGCACAGACACAGAGCTTACTTCTGGTTTTGTTCTACCTTAGATCGAATCTTCTGTTCC